AAAAAACACCTACTATTCGAAAAAAAATTGTTTTGTTCGATTGACAATTTCACTGTAAACCAGTGATATTAAATTTTGAGCATTTTTGGATTTAACTTGAAATTTTGAGCCAATTTAATAATTTTAATTTTGAATTTAGAAGCAGATGTAAAAACATGAGAATATACTAATGTAGTGTACTAGCAAGAAAAGTAGAGTTTCTTGACTTTAATTTTTGTAACTTAACAGATTTTCTTGTGTGTCTCAAAATTTTGAGCCATTAGAATAATTCTGACTTCAAATGCGAGATCCGAGTGTAAAAATATATGGAAATACTGTGATGTAGTGTCATAGCAAAAAATTGCCATTTCTTTATTTTAAATCGCTTTTTTTATCAGTTCTTTGAGCTTATCTCAAAATTTTGAACAAATCTGTCAATTCTGACTGCGAATACGGATTCAGCGGGAAAAAGTACATGGAAATATGCTATTGTCATGTCTCACAAAAAAATTTTTTAATTTTTTTGGTTCAAATTCGTGTTTTGAGTCGTTTTTTGAGTATAACTAAAAAAAAAAGAACCAATTTGAGCATTCGGACTTCAGATTCGGATTCAGCGGCCAAAAATACATGGGAATATACTACTGTAGTGTCTTCTCGGCCACGAAACTTTTTTTTTTTTGTGCCTGTGTTATTTTTGTCTGCAAAACACTGTTTGCAAAAATAGGCATTGAACATTTTACAAAATAAATGTGTTCGAATTTAACAACAGAAAATATTCAGGGTTGCCACAGACCTAGAAAACCTTGAAACCCTGGAATTGTCATGGAATTTTTTTCGAGTCATGGAAAACCTGGAAAACCTGGAATTGTCAGGGAATTTTATAAAATCTCGTACTAAAAAATTAATTCCCTCTATTTGAATCAAAAAATAAGTACGACGTCAATATGTTTACCTCATGCACCTACAAGATGTTCTGAGTATTGCCAATATTTTATTTTGACAATTGGCAATGCCATAGTGTAAGTTATTTTTTAATGCAAAGAAGACTGAAAATCAAAATTTTACTGTTTCAGTATTTTGTCTCGCATTTGCATTAAAATAAATTTAAAAATCAAACAAAAATATGTAATTTTTCCTTATTAATGCCCTAACAAAAATTGACTTTGATTTTTGATTTTCGTCAATTTAGTTAATAAATAATTAAGTGTTTACATTTACCCCGAGAATTCGAAAACTCGGGGTAAATGTAAACAGAACTTCAACTACATTTTAAAAGAAAAAAAAATGGAATAAATTTGCTTCTATTTCACAATTTTATTAATTTGGCAATGTAAAATTACATAGAAAAGGAAATTAGGTCCTCTGTAAAAAAAAAAAATTTGATGAAAAAATAAAAAAAAATTTTTTTTGAAAATTTGATCAATTTTTAAAAATATTTTTAGGTTCATCCGCCATTTTGAAAATTTAAAATCTGACTTCAAATTCGCATTCAGCGACCTCAAAAACCCCCCAGTAGCCAGATTCAAGCAAATTTGATCAATTTTTAAAAATATTATTTTTAGGTTCATCCGCCATATTGGATCCACCATTTTGAAATTTAAAAATTCGATTTTAGATTCTTATTCAGCAACCATAAAAACTTCTTTTTACCAAGTTGAATGAAAATCTATTAAAATTTGTTCAAGTTATTCAAGTTTTTACATTACTAGTTTTATTTTTGTAATGGTTAATTGTTTATTTTATATGATACATTATCAGTCAATTGGTTGATTTACTATACATCTACGAAGAATTATCAGTTTTTTATCCCTTAAAACAGTAGTATACTTGAAATAACTTGTTTCTTAAAACTCGCTTAACTACAGTAGTGTTTACATTTACCCCGAATTTTAGGAAAATTTCAAAATCTCGGGGTAAATGTAAACAGTCAGTTTTAGGCGATTCAGGTGCATCAATATTTTTTTGTACCTCATAAAACTTTTCTAGGGAACTCTAGTAACAAGTTCATGCAAAAAAATCCGTCCGTTTTACCTTTTAACAAAGAAAAACTAATGTTTTTGGTGAAAAATAGATATTCCGTTTACATTTACCCCAATTGACCCTACTTGAATATATAATAAAGATGACGGTTTAATTTAATTTAATGTACCAGTCGTATTTTGTTAGAAAAAAAATCCGCAAAAATCGCCCTGTTTTTTCCCTTGTCACAGTAGACTTCCCCCTTAAGAAAAATTTATAGCTTTTGTATTTATGTACTATAGTTTTAAGACATAACTTTTAAAAAAATGGTGACTTTTTAAAGCATTTTACAAATCAAAATATTTTGTACTTAGATGTTTAGAATCCTCGTTTGTTAATTGTAAAAAATTCTAAACGGAATAAAAATTTTGAGTAACTTTAATTTTCTCTATTTTTTGGTCTATTTTAAAATAAAGAATTAATTTTAAATATTTACAAAATTAATGAATTATTTTATTGGTAATTTAATTGTATTTTTCGTCCAAACTAACTAAAACTTGATCAAAACAGTTTTACATTTGGGTCTGGAATTTTTAAAAAAAAAAGGGTCTAGAAAACCTGGAAAAGTCATGGACTTTTGAAATCAGTATTTTGTGGCAACCCTGATATTGCTCTTTAGAAATTTATGAAATCAGAACAATAGTATATTACGATACTAGGCCAGAAAGTTGGATTTCCTGGCCGGCGTGATATTTATATATCACGCTCGCTAGGGTATCCAAATTTCTGGCCGTGTGTCGTATACAATTTTTCTGTATCCCCAGCCGAAAGTACGTTAAATAATTATTGTTTGAATAATAAAATAGCTCAATAAGTTGCCCGCCCGACTTTTGCAAAGTCGAGGCGAAGCCGAGACTTAGCTGGTCGGGGCGGGCATGAAAAAAAAATTATAAGTAAAAAATAATTGTAAGGAAAATTTAAAAAATAGTAAACAAGAAATTTTCTTTTACAAATAAATATTTAATAATTAAAAAATAATAAAAGAAAATAAGAAATTTCATGCATTATTTTGATGACTGTCAGTTGTTTTCAAAACGTGAGCTCTGTAAGTAACGTGTTTGTGTGGTTGCTATGCTAACATGTACGTGTGTTGAAATTCTTGTAACCAATCAGAGCGCTCGTTGGGTCTGTCGAGCCGGCCACAAAAGTCGCTATTCCCGGAGCCAAATCAGACCGTGAAGACAGTACTTTCGGCAAAGGGATACAGAAAATTTATTTTGTAAAATGTGTAACTCCTTTTTCTGCAAACAGAGTTTTGCTAACAAACATAACTAATGGTTAAAACAAAGCATTTAAATTTAGATTTTTCGAGCTTTAAATTTAAATATAAATAAAAAAAATAAAAAAATATAATGTTTTAGAAAAATTATATGCCATATTGGACCCGCCATTATGAATTTTGAAAATCGGACTTCAGATTCGTGATCGGCGACCCCAAAAACCCCCGAGTAACAAGTTTCAATCGAATCTAATAAGTTTTTGGAAATTTGTCCGCCATTTTGAATTTTGAAAATTGAATTTTAGATTCATAATTAGCGACCCCAAAAACCCCCGAGTAACAAGTTTCAAGTGAATCTAATGAGTTTTTAGAAAAATTGTCCGCCATATTGGATCCGCCATTTTGAATTTTTAAAAACTAACATCAGATTCGTAATCAGCGACCCCAAAAACCTCCGAGTAAACATTTTCAAGCGAATCCGATTGATTAAAAAAAATTGTCCGCCATTTAAAAACTAACTTCAAATTCGTAATCAGCGACCCCAAAAATATTAAGACATGAGATGTAAAGCAAATCCGTCCATATGAATAATGTGCCCCTGAAAGGGTTAAAAAAGATTTTTTAATTTAAAGTTTAAAAAACGAGATGTTAAAAGTTGTAGCAGGTGTTTTTTCAAAATGTAAGACTGTATCATTCAAATTAAAAAATTAATAAAAGGTAATAAGTTTTTTCAATTTACAAAAATAAACTTTTCAAAATTAAAAGATGAAGAAAATTTATAAAAAATAATTTTAGAACTTAAAACTTAAATTTGTTCAAAACTATAGTCGGAGTACAGAATTGACATTTAAATGTTAATAAAACCAAAAAACCGTTATAGGCCTTCGCAATATTTATTTATTAATATAAAACGGTCCAACAAACATATATTAAATAAAAATAACTATCAAATAAACATGAAATAAATAAAATAAATATTTTATCAAAACTTTTACATTACTATAAAAGTTTATGTTTGATTTGCATAAATTCCTTACTTACAATCATATTTCTTTCAATGTGTAACTTAAATGTAAATACTTATAATAATATTCATTTTAAAACTTTTAATTTTTGAAAGTCTCCATCATTTCTTTTTGCATATTTAGAAAAAGATGAAAAATCTAAAAATCGTTGTTAAAAAAATGATAAATTTTTTTCTCACTAAGTATAATCAAAATTTTTTTTGTATATATAAATAAAAAAATTTTTTTGGTCGTATATTGCATTTGAAGTGTTAATTTACACTGAAAGACGTAGTCTGCTACAGACCAAAAAGCCTCTCAGTATATGAGTTGTTATTTCCTAAAATATGAAAAAAACCCACTCAAATGTCTATAAATATCTGATTTATAAAAAAACGAACTTATACCCGGTAAAATACGATTTTCAAAATTTTTAAAATAACAAATTTTGAAATCAAATTTGTAAAGTAAACCATTTTTGATTTTGCAAGTGTGAAATTAATTAATTAAACAATATGATGATCAATTAAAAACCTTTAACTAAACAGTATGATGATTAATTAATAAATTCTAATTAAAATTAAAATATGATGATCATTTAAAAATTTTTTTAGGTATATAGTTTTAATTAAAGTATTTAGCTTTAATTCAACAGAAATACATTTTATTATTATTGAGATAAAATAAGTTTGTAAACTTTTAAGATTTTGGAAGAAAGATTTGTTCTTAAGGCAAGGTAGGTGTATAAATATAGGAATGTAAAAATATATATGGAAAAATTTGAGTCTAGCTATACTATACTTTAGATAACATATATCCATATGCCTAATATAATTTGAAATACATTTTTTTATAGAAAAGAATCTTTGTAAGTCGACGAATTAAAAACAGACATAAAGAAAAAAGTAAAATACTTTTTTCTAATTTACAAAAATAAAGTATTAATTAAAAATTAATATTACAATTTTAGTCGTAGAAATGTATAAAAGAAAGGACATTTATTACATTAATCATTTTCGACATATTTGTAAAATTGTATTACATTGGTGTGAAGGCCTTTAGATGCGTGAACACAAACGTAGAGAAAAGCAATGAAGAACATATTTCTGCTGTTAAAGGGTATCCAAAGTAGCACTTTCCTCATCCAACATCTGCGAAAACCATAAGTATTGGATATTAATGAAACAAAAATTTTATCATTTTTTATTTATTATTTTTAAGTTGGCCTCCTAACCCTATGTGTTTTCTGATAAGCAAAAAACGGGGCATTTTAGGAAAATAAAAATTTTACAGGAATTCAATTATTTACAAAAATTTTTTAAATTTCTTCGCAATAATTCAATTATTTTCATTAATAATAGGTACAATTCTTTATAGAAATTCAATTATTTTCATAAATAATGAAACTCATCACAGAATTTCAACAATTTTTAATCTAATTTTAATCAAATTTCTCAAAAATTGTAATTATTCTTAAAATTTTTTTCAAAATTCGTTAAAAGAATTCAATTAATTCAAAATTTGTTGATACAATAAAATAAAATAAATTTTCTAAATAAAATTTTAGACAATAATAAGTCAATATTAAAAGCATTAAAACATAAGTTTTTAGAAATAATTGAAGTTTGAAAAGGTTTCAAATTAAAATCTTTGAAAATTTGAATTTTTTATGCTTTTTAATTAAAAATTCAGTAAAACTAATTATTTTGAAAAATTTTAATTATAATTCTATTAAAATCAGTTAGATTTTTGAATACTTATTTAATTTTTAGAAATAATGGATTTATAGAAGAATTTTAGTTAAAAACACTAAAAAAATTGAAATTTGAAAAAGTTACAAATTATTGCAGAAATTCAATTATTTTTAAAATGTTTAATAAAATTCTTAGCAAAATTTCAATTATTTACGAAAGTTTTCTTCAATTCCATGATTTTCAATATTTAGGTACTATTTTAATAAAATTTTCTAAAAGAAGAACTTTAAGAAGACAATTCATTAAAAAAATGTAAAATAAAATTCTACTTACTCAAAAATTTATTTACTTTTTTGTAAATAATAAAAATTTTACAGGATTCAATTATTTACAAATTTTTTATAAATTTCTTCGCAAGAATTCAATTATTTTCATTAATATACTAATAAATTTTTAAATTAATTTAATTAATTCAAAGAATTGTACTAAAATATTGAAAATAATTGAATCCTTTCGAAGAATAGATACTTAAATTCTTTAAAACAATTTTATTAGAGTTTTTTAAATAACTAAATTCATTTGAAGAATTTCTTTAAATTTTTCGAAAATAATGTAGTTCTTTTAATAATATTAATTAAAAACTTTGAAAAAATAATTAAATTAAACAAACTAATTAAATTAAATTAAACAAAATAATATTGTCTGTTAATAATTATAATTAAAAATTTGATTATTGAATTTTTTTGAGAGTGTATTGAAAATAATTAAATACCTAAGAAGAATTTAAACATTTTTGAACATAATTGAATTTTTCGAAGAATTTTATTGCTTTTGAAAATAATTGAATTTCTGGAATCATTTGTAATTTCTCTAAAATTCTCCAAATTATATCGTACAATTCACGAACTTTTCGTCCTTATTCAATAAAATTACGGACTTTACGGACTTTAAAAAAATGACTTTTACGGACTTTAAGCAAATTTACGGACCTTTGCGGAATTTTCGGACATAGTTCGAGCCCTGCACATGAGATTCAACTAAATTTATTTTCAAAGAAATTTCCAAAAAAATACTCACATGTGGATGTTGTGGTGCCAAGGTGTGTTTACTCATTACAATAGTAGTTGTTTTAAGATCTTTTAATGGTCCAGGTGACTTGGGTGGTACAAATATGTCGGTTGGACTGCTTGGTTTATTAACTAACGATTCAGCAGCTCTGACAACATCTAAAACCTAAATGAAAAAAAATCAAAATTAAATATATTGTAAAGTACATGAAACTCAATATTGAAAAATGATTGTTACTTTTTCAGGAGTAGATTTTTCTTTTTGATCAAGGATTGCACGCTCTTGTTCTTCTTGTTCCCACGCTACAAGTTCCGCTTTCATATCTTGTTCTTGCCTAAGGGTGGCAGCTTCTTCATCGTCTCGATCAAGACTCGATATGCTATGGGTTAAGGATTTTGTATCATCAATAATTTCTTCTTTAAACTCATAAAATCCATCTAATTCCTTTGATTCTCTGCCACTTGACGCCATTATTAAATTCTCAATTTCACCTTTATCATAACCTTTACAAACTACTAGTGAAATTGAATCTCCAGAGGACCGCAAAATATTCACAGCTTCCTGATGAGTAACTCCTAACAACGATGTTCCGTTAACTTCCAGCAATCTCATACCAATCTAAAAATCAAATGGAAAAACAATTATATACTTATGTTCTAAAAAGATATATTTAACTAAATATATACTTAAAAAAAATGACTTACTTTTAATCTGTTATCTCTTTTAGCAGCACCGCCTGAATTTATTTTTGATATGAACACACCCTCATCCGAATGATCAAGTGGATTACCTCTTTGACCTCGGAGACCTCCTTTGATATGCATTCCCAATTTTTCACCTGGATTCTTAACTATAACGAGTTCCTGCAATGAAAATATTTTATGTTATATATTTCAAGGAATTTCATAAAAACTATACTGAAAAATAGCTTTGATACAGGTCTTAAAAATATATTGCTGGATATTATATGTATACGGTTCATATTGTTTAATAATAAATATGTAACAAAGTTGTACTTTTAATACTATGTGCTTTCAAATAAAAAATCTAACTAGGGAATTGTCATTTCGTGATTACGAATCCGATTTTAGATTTTCAAAATTCAAAATGGCGGATCCAATATGGCTGACTAAATTTTAAAGAATTACTTCAATTTTCTTCAAAATTGCTATTTTGAATTTCTAACTAACGGATTCGTAATCAACGACCCCAAAAACTCCCGAGTAACAATTTTGAAGTAATTTTAATCAAATTAAAAAATATTTTGATAGTTTAAAAATTCCGCCATATTAAATCCGACATTTTGAATTTGTTTGTTACATAATTGTTTTTTTTAAACAGTTAATATTCATCCTACTGTTTAAAATAAATATTACTACTTTTTGTAATTTATTATTTTTTTAAATGTAGCAGCATTCATTCGGAATAGAAAGAAATTTATCGCAAATTAATTGGTTGACTTTTATAAGAATTACATAAAATTTTCCAAGTGGGACCTATATGTCCCGGAGGCAAGAAAGGGACTTTGAAAGCAAAAATCAGTAGAGTGTCTGTTAACTAATTAGCGAATCGAAATGTAAAAAGGAAGAAAATAAACAATACTATGAATTGGTTGGTGCACAAAGAGTATGATTAACTAACCTTTAATTTACATTTAATTTGAATAATGAGGATAACGCTCACTTAATTTTTTTATTTTTAAAGAAATGAACATTTTTTTATATTACCGACTACTTTTGAAACGGAAGATTTACATAATGAGGGCGCTCCTGAAGAATCTTTTATTCTATGTAGTGTCATGTGTCATTTCTTCTGCTGCACTATGACGAGAAATATAATTTTACTGTTTCCATTGTTAATTCTTTATTTTTCAGCAAATCGATTCCAAACTTTGCGAACAATTTTCTTAATGATAAAGGAAAAACTTTATCGCAAGAAGTTGAATGAAAATGCCCTCGATAACTTTTTGATCTGAAGTTTGGAAAGCGCATAGTATTGAAAGTACAAATTTGTTATTATTTATTATTAAACAATAAAACTTTTCTGAATTTGTTTGTATTTATCGGCTTCATTAGGACTTAAACTCGTATACATACGACGTTTAAAGTGAATTCATAAAGATTTGTTTAATACACGAGTTATGTTTTGAAAATTTATTCAATTTTATAGAAAAAAATGTCTGGGTTTTTGTCTTCATTATTTAAAATATTCAATTTACAAAAAAATCTTTAAACAAAATTTGGGCATTTTTACTTTCCATAAGATTGTGTGTCTTAAAAATTAAAATGATATGTTTTCCTTTTTTTATTTTTGGTCAGCCTGACTAGCTTTAAAGAGACTGTCCGAGCGCAGCGGCAGTTCTAAAATTCAACGGCTCAATTTTATTAATCTTTGTAACACTTTACTACTTAGATGTCAATTATTAGATAAAAACCAAGGAACTTCTGAATTTTCGGAAGCAAATTATCTTCATCTTATAAGAAAAAGATATTCAAAAATGAGAATTTCCTGTCACTCTTAACGATTCAGTAACTATTCGCCCATTTGAAATATGTCTACAAAAATTAAGGTATCGGTGAAAATAAATGTGTATCGAACAAGATTACAAAGACCTGAGAACAACCAAATTACAACGCATGAATATTTGTATGCGTGGGCAAAATGGGCTTTTAAGAAAATATTTTCCAATTTTTGTACCAATGAAGATTACGAAAGAGAACAAAAAGCTTTAAAGTTTAGTTACTCAAAAGTCATCGCCATACCAAGTCCGTTCTGATCCATCACGTCTGGATTCTTCCTAACCTCAAAATACATATCAGATTTTAAGTGACAGACAACAATTCTATAAATATTGACTGATTTACCTCAATCTTGGTATCGAGGGTTTATTGGGGTTGCTGATTACGAACTTAGAGGCAGATTTTCAAAATACAAAATGGCGGATCCAATATGGCGGTTAGATTTTTGAAAACCTTTTTGAATTTTTACAAAACTTGATATCGATGGGTTTTCGAAGTCGCTGATTACGAATTTAAAGGCAGATTTTCGAAATACAAAATGGCAAATCTAATATAACGGTCGGATTTATAAAAATTTTTTGAATTTTTACATACAGGCTCACAAAAAAATTCATAGTCATCTAGATACTAAGTTCTGTAAAAATTCAAGAGATTTTTATAAATCCGACTGCCATATTGGATCCGTCATTTTTATTTCGAAAATCTGACATAAATTCGTAATTAGCGACCCCAAAAACCCCTCGATACCAAGTTTTGCAAAAATTTAAGGATTTTTTTTAATCCGACCGCCATATTGGATCCGCCATTTTGAATTTTGATAATCTGCCTTTAAATTCGTAATCAGCTACCCCAAAAATATTTAAATCATGAGTTTTGTAATGATGTATCTAACATATAAGTGCAAATCAAAGCTCGATAAGGGAAGATGAATGTGATTTTTACATTTTACCGTTCATAATGTAACCTACACAAAATTAAAATCAACAGAAATCAATATGTTTTTAAATTTATAATAACTTTTGCAAAAACAAGAATGTATCATAAATATGCTTAGAAAATAAACCACATAGAATAAATGTAATGAAAAACTGGTGAAAACATGAGAATAAAATTAAGGGGACAAGAGTACTTACTGTCACAGGGATGTACTCTATTTCGACCAGCTTGTGAAATAAAACAGTAATTTATTACTTCTGACCACTTTTGACATAAGAAAAATATCTATTCATGAAAAGAATATTGGGAAAGTATATTTGCATTATCTTTCTGAAGTTTGGTACTTTAAAGTCTGTCACATATGTTAATATTAAAAATTGAGGTGATTATTATTAAGAACCTTTCCGGTTCTTATAATAATGTGTAATAACATTTAGTGTCCTCTATTTTATCTCTTTATAGGAGTTGAATTGTGAAAGATATAAAAAAATTTAATTTTCTGTTTCGTGAATTAAAACTTAATTTTAACACACTTCTGCATACCTACAGCATGATATCGTAATAATATTAAATAAAATGTAATATTACAAATTTATTAAATGCAACTAGCAAATATTACGCGCAGAACGTGATATTCAATTTATTACCTATTATTATGCAAATTATAAAATTTTTAACTTTCAAATATAAATTTGAAAATGATTTTATAATCAAAAATTTTGAAAAGCCACTTATTAAGTACATAATTAATTATTTATTGTTTACATTTTCAAATTATTTTCATAAATAATAACATTTTTTGGAAGAATTTAATTATTTTATAAATAGTAAATTTCTTGCAAAAATTTAATTACTTTTAAAATTTTTAATTAAAATTATTAAAGAAACTTAATTATTTAAAAAAAATTCAAAGAAATTCTTCAAAAGAATTTAATTAGGATTTTCAAAAATGGTACTAAAATTCTTCGCAAGAATTCAATTATTTTCATAAATAATAAAATTCTTTGAAAGAATTCAATTATTCTCAAATTTTTTTATAAAATTCTTTATAAGAATTCAATGATTTCCAATACATTAATTTTCAAATTGGGAATATTTAAAAAAAAAATTATTAAAAAAGTTAATAAACAAAAAAGCAAACAACTAACTTCAAACTGCGAACAGATTACAGGAATACAAAGATTATTATTAATATAGATATTACACTACCGGCAGTAATTGTGTAAATTTTACTTTTTTATGATTATTAAATAACTTTTAACTTGAAAAAAATAATAAAATAATTTTACATATATGTAAAGTTTTTTCCTTTTTATTTTCAAAAAACTGACATAATTCTGAAAAAATAACAACTTCACGACAAAATTGTTAATTTTTCAATCAGATATTTAACATAAACCCCATTTTTAGTGATTTGACTAATTGCTTTATATCTTCTGAACAAATTAATGTCTTTTAACTCTCCGTCCGTCGTATAGTGAGAAGTTTGCTCACCCGGTTTCTTTTTTTATTTGTAACTCTTAAAATACATAAAATTATAATTCCATATTGTCAAAGCACTCTTCTTTTATTTATTAAAACAATTTTTGTATTTTTTTATATTTTTATTTTCTTGTTATTGAATTTGAAAGTAGCAAATGTTGGGATTTTTTTACGCAAGGTGAGGAAACTTTGCGATTAACCGCGTAAACTCGATTTCATTTGTAATTAATTTTTTATTTAATTAATTAGCAGAAAATGAAAGTTAATTTTACTGACAATAGGTTTTTTTTTAGAAATTTTAATGCTGCCTTCTGAATCTTTAGTTCTGAAACTCGTGAAACTTAAAATTTTTTTAAATGTCCTCTGTTTTTTAATGTTGGGCGCAAAAGTTGACTAAACATTGCGTAAAAGTTTAAAAATTTTAAGGTTTTTAAAATTTTTTTTAACTTCCTCTTTTTGTTAAAACATTAATTTAAATTTAAAAAAATTTAAACTTAGATGCAATGTTCAGTCAACTTTTGTACCCGACATTAAAATTATAAGTTTTTTTTAAATTAATTTTTTTAAGTAAACAATACAAATTTGCTGAATATTAACTAATAAATAATAAGTATTAAAAAATGTTACTTTTTTTTAAAAGAAAAAAGTTGTGGTTAACGTTTACTTTCAATCACATTTTTCTAAAAAAAAATCTTTTTTTCAAGTGAAAGAAAACTTTTACTCTGCTGTTCCATCTACTCCAGTTATGTTTTACCCAATATCTACCCAGCTGAATAGACATTAAGTAAATCAAATCCGTCAGGACTAACTAAAACAATTTAATATGGGGTCCGAACCTCCTGCCTTCAAGTGGTGTTTCTAACCAATGTTTTACCCTAGAATAGAACACTAGAAGTAATGGCGGGCGATTTAGGGATTTAGCCAAGTTAAGACAATCATGGGAAGCAATATGAATCTAAGAGACTAGCGAAACTTTGCAAACTTAATAGAAAAGAGATGATGATCAAAACAGGACCTTGCCGCAATCCTCTTGCTTAAGATTCTTTTAATTTATTATATTTGACCATATAAATATTTTATTAAAAGTCTGAAATTGATACTTAAACATATACACGATCTACTTTAATAGTAAGTTTAAAAATTCATTTTTTGAAGTATTTTTAAGTAAATTAAAATTTTTTTAAGTACATTAACATAATTCAAAAAGATAATATAAAACAATGAAATATTTAAAAATATTAATTCTTTTACTAAAAAGCAAGTAACGTTTATAAATAAAAAGTATTCATTTAAATGTATGTAAAGATTTACCTGATAATTTTCTGGAAGTGAATCATGCTGAACAGTAAGAACAATAGAATTTCCAGGTCGCAACAGTTCCATCACTGTTTCTTGATGAGTGGCTTTGGTAACATCTGTTCCATTAACCTTTAATATTCTATCTCCCATCCTCAATTTACCAGATTTAGATGCTATTCCGCCAGGGACAACCTAAAAATCCAATGTTTTTTTATTAAAAATATGCAAAAAAAAACTCATAAAGTCGAGTATTGAGTACAAAACAATTGAAGATAACGATTACTCAGAGAAGAAAAACAAAAGTCTTTACGTTTCAACAACCTTCCCTTCGAAAACAATTAATTTATTTTAAAAAATTTGTTGAATATTATAAAAAATATTAGTTTTTAATAAAAAATTAATAAAATTAATAATTCACCAGAAAATATTAAATTAAAATTGTGTCTGGTTTATAGTACGTGAAAGTCTAGAAAAATTGTTTTTAAATATCGGTGTCTCTTTGTATTTATTTTTTATTTTAATTTTAATTAACTTACATGTGAGATAAAAATTCCAGGTTCTCTTGCTCCGAATGGTGTACACGAATGATCTGTACCACCAATAATACTAAAACCCAGTGAACCTTCTTTTATAAGAATAACATCCTGAAAACAAATAGAATTTAATATTAGATTATTTCATAAAAAATAATTTTTCAAATTACAATAATAAGTACTACTCATAATAATAAATTAATAATAATAATTCATATAAATATATATAATATAATTTTAACGAAATGAGTTAATGTAGAGACAGAGTGAGGGGTTAATACAAAAATGATAAACACGATAAGGGGCAGCAAAGTTTAAACAAAATCGTCAGTCCATTCACACTAACTTAATGTTCTGTTATAGTCGTGTCTTTTTATATTTGCACAAATAGCGTATACAATAGCGTCGGGAATCTAGGTCAGAAATGAAGATGGAGACTTAAATCTTATGGAATTTCCTTATAAAATTCTGCTCCAAGAAAATTTTGTATATGGGAAAAATTAGTCACTTAAAATTTCAGTAACTAATAAAAGAGTCGGGGATATGAATGAGTATTTCGTACACCTTTTTAAATATTCCATAATATAATTTTGACATAAATTCTAGAGAAAAGTTGAAGATAATTAGAAACTGAGAACCGGAAAAAGTCACAATTCTTGTATAATAGGTTTTTCAGAAACTTATCGACTTTATCTAAATTTTAAGTGAATTAAAGTCGAATTGAAAATTTAGAATGGAAACCATGTGCTTTAAAAAGTAGTTGACGAGTCGAGGAAGACGATGCACAGAAGAAGTGCACAAACTCTCAAGCATTACACTGAGAAAACATTTCACTTAAATGAAATATAAAAATAATTTTAGATGATTTTGTTTAATTGAAATTAGTTTGTTAGCATAATCCCAATGTGAGTCAAAATTTCTGAACTGGGGCACCTAAAACAAACTTTTTAAATTTGCATTATGTCTATACATAATTTGTTACAGCCGGGTGATACAAAAACATACCCGAAATGCGTTTTCAAAAAATTTAAATTTTTCAATTAGTTACAATAAACGATTAAGCTTTAAAGTACCTTTTTAGAAAATTCACTATTGCTTCGTTGTTTTTTGATGAAATTTAATAATATTTGTTAGAGACATACAAAAATAACGCCACTATTATAATAACAACAAGAATTTGAAAAATTCATAATTATTTATTAAAAATAAATTCTTAATTAATTCAACAATTAATAATTAAAACAAGTTTTAAGTGACTTTTGGAATAGTTACGCAAAAAATTCAAAAACTACAAAAATCTATGTTTTCTACATACTTTAATATCAAGAAAAAAGTTTTAATAGACTTTAAAAATTGAGCTAATGACGTAATTTTAATGTTTCTTTTTTCTAAATCTTCATAATTAAATTCTCTATCGATCTTTCGAGCCCGACTTTTTAATTTTTGTTTTTAAACATTTTTTTGACAACAATAAGTATTAAAAAAATCGTAAAAAATATTTTTTTAGCTTCATTTAAGAAAATTAATAAAAAAAAACCCTATTAAAACAATGTTTGAGTCTTTCTGATGTATGAAAAAAATATTACAATTTATTAAATTGTTTGAACAATTAATTGTTGTTATTTTTTTCAAAACTGTACTTAGGGCTAGAAATTTCTATTTTTTTCTTAACTGTGCATTTTGTCACGAGTAAAACATCTACTAATGATAAAAAATAAAAAATAATTAATTAATCATTGTTTAAACAATTAATTAATTTATTAAATTGTTTGAACAATTATTTGTTATTTTTCTCATAAACTGCACTAAGGGCTAGAAATTTCTGGATTTTTCTAAATACAATCAATTGAAAAATTAAAAACTATAAATTGTTCAAACAGTAATTAAATAACAAATTTTTAGTTTTTCCATTATACTAAGTGTTTAAGTCATAAAAAATTGCACATTTGAAAAAAACTAAGAAATTTTAGTTTTAATTACAGTAAATTGAAAAATTAACAAAATAAATTGTTTAAAGAATGTTTAAATAATTAATTTTTAGTTTTTCTTTTATACTTGAATGTTTTAGTTACAAAAAAATGCGCAATACAGAAGAAACTATAAATTTCTAGTCCTTAGTACAGTTTATAAAAAAATAACAATTAATTGTTTAAACAATTTAATAAATTGTTATTCCTTTTTTTCATACATCAGAAAGACTCAAACATTGTTTTAATAGTTTTTTTAAATTAATTTTCTTAAATGAAGCTAAAAAAATATTTTTTACGATTTTTTTAATACTTATTGTTGTCAAAAAAATGTTTAAAAACAAAAATTCAAAAAACGGGCTCGAAAGATCGATAGAGAGAATTAAAGTGTTCCAGAAGTAACTTAAAACTTTAATTGTTTAATTAATTAAGAATGTATTTTGCATAAACAGTCATGAATTTTTTAAATTCTTGTGGTTATTAATAGAGGCATTATTTTTGTATATCTCTACCAAATATTATTAAATTTCATCAATAAATAACGAGGTTATAATGAATTTTCTAAAAAGTTACTTTAAAGTTTAATTGTTTATAACTAAATGAAAAATTAAAATTTTTGAAACATCATCCCGAGAATGTTTTTGTACCACCCGACTGTAACAAATTATGTATAAACATAATGCAAATTTAAGAAGTTTGTTTTAGGTGGCCCAGTTTAGAAATTTTGATTTATGTACAGAAAATATCTACTGTTTTGATTCAAAAGTATTATTTGTTTTTTGAATAATTATATTTGATTCAATCATATTTTATGTTTTGGTTTAAACAAAAAATATGTTTAAAAATTTGATGTTTGATTCAAACTTAAAAGTTGATTATAAATAATTTAAAATCATCCGTAACTTATGTTTGAATTAACCAAAAAATAGGTTTCAATGTAGTTCTGTTTCTCACAAGTGGTAAAAAGACCTATAGTTTAATATATTAGAACAAGTATATATGCGTCTATATTAGTAGGTATTAAAGTCATGTTAGGATAAACCGTAAGTGAGGAATATAAGTGTGTGGCTAGACTAATAAATGTGTTCATATGGGGAGAATTGTGTATGTAAAGATACTAAAGTGAGAAAGTAAGAGTGAATTCTTTTCTTTCATTGATTAATTGAATTTTTAATTTTGCTTGACTGTCGCGGAAATTTTAGAACACAGATGTAGAGTCTTCATTTTCCTCGACTGCCGCAGAGAATTTAAAACACTTTTTCAACAGTAATATATTTTTCAATTAATTATATTAACTTGATTTTTAGAATTGATGGATTTCAAAAAATTTAACACTTTCTGCAATATCCCCGAGTCTTCTACAAAGTCCACTAAAATTTTAGCAACTATTTTTCTCCGTCTATAATGTTTTTTAACTCTTCAAAGTTAAATCACTTTGGTGAAAAATCAAATAACTCTAATGATTGACATAAATAGTAAAAAAGACTAAACTAGTAATCGACAGTACGTAAGCTTACAAATAACAAATACATAAAAACTAGTATAGCATAAATGTTTCAAATAAACTAACTATGTAGTGTAAATATTGTTAGTAGCGTAAATAATGTACAAGTAGCGTGAACAATGTAACCATTAGTGCAAATATTGTTAGTAGTGTAATGTAAATACGCAGTGAAATTATTACCAACAGTGTAAATATTGCAAAAAAGGTGCAAATCTGACTGACTACCTCCGCGTGGTGCACTTCTGGCAAAAGATTAATTTGGCAAATGTCAGTAGTGACAGCTGGATATATTTGCCTTGAAAAAAATTAGTTAAAAAACGTATTTATGTATTGGGTTTGGAAAATTTATATTTTACCAAGGTCTCTTATTTTTTGAAATACAAAGTACCTTGTAGATCATCTTCGCAATTATTTTTATAATAGTTTAAGGAGACTTTCTGGTCAAAGATTTTTAAAAAATCGATTTTTCTTTTTTTACTGTAAAATGTTCTTTAGTATCATAAAATTACTGTCCCAAAACATTTTTTAAGAAATATACAAAAAAGGGTATTAGTTACAGGACTCGAACCAGTAAAGTACTTAAAAATAGTTACTTTACGAACCAGAAATAAAAAATTACGGACCAATTATGGACGAAAATATTATATTTTTTAACAGTAGGTTCAAATAAAAATCCAGTAAAAAAGTAACAAAAATTGTATTTTTAATTTAAAATAAGTTGAGAGTAAAAAATGCCAAAATAAAAGTGTCAAAGTCAAATTTCCAAAATTATTATTTTACCAATGGTTGATTTTTCCATATTTTTTTTCCAATGTAAATTTCTTCTAAAAAAGTTAAAAATTTAAAAGTCAACTCTAACATCACGTTGTATACAACTTCATTTGTTTTAACCCTCCTACGGTTTAATTAAATTGCAGAAATCTGTACCAAAATGGTTCAATTTATCCTGCATAGAAAATTTTATATCTTAACATGCTTTAATAGTTTTCGGGGTCGCTGATTACGAATCTGGCATCAGATTTTCAAAATTCAAAATGGCAAATATTAAAAAAAAAATTGTAATTAAAAATAAAATTTTTTTGAAAAATGTCCGCCATATTGGATCCGACATTTTGAATTTTGAAAATCTGATGCCATATTCGTGATCAGCGACCCCGAAAACCCTCCGAGTACTGATTTTCATAAGCTGATTTCATAAACTTTTTGATTAAACTTATACGATTTGAAACGTACTTCACTATGACTTAATTTGGAATCAAAAATAAATTTTTTATTTTGCTTTTGCCGAAAAATATATGAATCTAAGTAAAAGTTTATTTTAGAAGGAAATGTTTTTAGAAATTCTTCAATTGTAACACTTAACAATTAATTAAAAAATTATAATTATAATTTGAAATTGAGTATACTGAAAAAATTTAAAGACCTCAACTGCATTTAATGTGGAGCAACTGCGCCCTATGTGGCAAGAGCAAGTATAAAAAAATGATTATCCAGCAAACACTTATGACATAATAATTATAATACACCACTTCTATAAAACTGTCAGCCTACATTAATAGTATTATCTGTTTTTTACGCACCTATTATACTAAATAGTACATGATACTCGTTCTCAAAAGCGGTTTTCCTAGAAAAATCACGTTATTTCGCTAATGTCGCCCTTCTATAAAATCTGCCTTATAGAACTTGTATCATATGAATAAACTGATTGTGTAAGTGTAGTAAATTTGTAAACTTTTATACAAAAAAGTAACGCCAAAGCGGGACGCACGAATATTTCCCAAACTGGCAAACAATCCGAAAGACATTAAAATATTTAACTAAATATTTAACATTAAAATATTTATCGCGACTGAAATTTAACAGAATAATCACGTAACTTACTTAAGAATCAACAGAATTATCATATCATCAACCTGACACGTAACAGAAGTTTTTTTACTTTTTGTCAATTCTGTTATATGTCAGGTTACTGATGATAGTTCTGTTGAGTCTCAAGTAAGTTACGTGACTATTCTGTTAAATTTCAATCGTGTTATATATTTTTCTGTTAAATAACTATACTATTCTAATACTTTAAACAAAATACCGGATTTTCCTGCTTTAAAATGGTTACCACGCTAACAACTGTTGTATTTTTATTAATTTCTTAACCCTTAAATGACACACTGGGTCACTTAGACCCCACATGAAATCTAACAAGTTCTTTTCAAAATATACTTTTATCTCCTAAAATTAAAAAAAGGGTGTTTTTTCTACTATATGCAAAACGAGCCCTTATAAAAAAATACGTATAAAATATTTTTCCATGTATTAGGAATGTGCCAAGTTTCAGAAAAATTGATGTATTACACCAGGATAGTGTTACTTGCGACTAGTCATCAATGAGCTCAGCTTAATTTAATTATTAAAAAACTGGTTTAGATTGAAACCCCTTGAAGTATATTTTTAACAAATTTTACTCTATGAGCGATGGTTTTAAAGGTAACTTAATCAACTATAAAAGGGTTCCTTATTCATTGCATTTTAAAGTATCGTTTTTGCTACAGGTGATTTTAAGTAACGTCACACTTCGAAAAAAATACTTTTTACTGTTAAAAAAATACTGAATGAGGGAAGAAACTTTTCTATTATTAGAAGTTCTGGCTTTAATTATGCCCTTTTTAATGAGCTCCCAACCGATTGATTTGCATAAATTTTTAAAGCAAGGGGTGAGTTTTTGTCCAGAGGTGCGCCAACTTAAAAATCCTGAGTATTGGAATCGAACCGCATAAGAAAAATAAGGGAGCCTAAACTACTGTTAAAAAATTGAATTTTCTTAATTAGATCTAGTGCAACTAGTTAGTACGCTGACATTTTTATAAAAGTGCCAAGTAACTTTTACAGAACATGTTTTCATTGAAAAATGACCTTAACTGGAAGCATGAAGATAGAGAAAAAAAACTCAATCTTAAAATGTTGAAGTTATGCCTTGACATACCTCAGTAATAATTGGCTGAACCAAATGATTGTCGGTGACTCTAGTAACAACAGTCTCCGTAAGTGTACTCTTTGTGATGGTCTCAGTAACTTTACCAATTGCAGTTGGTGCTGGAGGAAAATTAACATCCCCCGAAAAATGATCGGGTTGCTTAATTGTTACCGTTACAACGGGAACATGATGGGAGTCTGGTGAGGGTGAAGAGCTCGGAGGTCGAAGGAAATGAATAGGAATCATGGCTTGAAATTCCTCACTTGTAATTGGCTTCAATACCTGTATGTCTTCTTGAGGACTCCTTGATCTACCTTCACAAGTTGCATTTGTAGTTGGCAATCCATTGTCTGCAGCATTAATGGGTTCACTATTTACATTTGGCGGAAGTGGTGATTGGGTCGTAATGGTCCTTGGTGCCGGTTGTGGACTTGATTGTGGATGTGATTGAAAGGGAATAGAAGCCGTCGTTGTTGGAATGGAATTTTTGAAATTTGGCGCGTCACTCACACCATTGACATTTGGTTCATTTGTCAATTGCTTGGGTGTAGTGGCTGTTTTGAATAAACCAGGTGAACGAAGATTACCAGTAAATACAGGTCTGTTATTCATGTAACTGTTTGTTCCATATATTCCTGTATATGACTTAGATACACCCATAACTTGTGACAACTTCTCTGATGATGTCACTGAATTAATTGGATAAGCTTGAGTGACAGGAACTTCGCGTTCAACAACCAATCGAACAAATCGTTCCAAACCAGTTAACAAGGATACAGCTTGGTCATGTTTTGCTTCTAACATTTCAACTCCATTAATCTAATCAACACATCAAAATTACAACTTTAGTGTGAGTGTTTTCTACAAATAAAGGTAGCTAAGCTGCAAAAACTTATTGAGTGTGTTTGTTATGCTTAAGATTAACTCTCAACGCTAACTAATGTTTAAGTCTTTATTAAGTCTAAAAATATTCCATAATTTTTTAATTAATTATTTTTTCATCAAAAAAAACTGTTCTTCTATAAAAACGTTTTATTATGTAAACAATATTTGAATTACAAATTCAGGGTTGTCATTCTCAATTTTGTTGTCTAACAAAGAAAATATTCAATTTTATTTTAAATTCTTTCTATTTCTAAAAATAATTAAACAACAAGTGGCTTTTAGAAATATTTTAGTTTTGGGTGAAATTTTTTTGAAAGAATTAAATTTTTAAGAAACCTTCTGAAAAAAATATTGAATATAATTGAATTAGAGAAGAACTTTATTTAAAATTTTTAGAAAATAATTGAATTGTAATCTTAAAAATAATTATTGAGATTTACTTTAAGAACGGGAAAAATAATTCATAGCCGGGAATTTTTTTTTACGAAAAAAAAATTCAAGGTAAAAGATGATAAACATAACCTTTAAGTTTCTGCATCTTAGGTACCTTTCTTCGTAGCGTATTAAATAAAATAAAGTTTCTTGAATAACGAATTTTACAAATCAAAACACAATATACTTACAGCAATTACTTTATCCCCAACTAATAATTTTCCATCTTTCTGTGCTACTCCACCATCTGTTATTCTTGAAATATATATAGCCTTAAAACAAGAAAAAAATGTTATTGTAAAAAGAAATTTTCAAATTAAATTTAAATGAAACTTAAAAATTAATAAGAGAATGGTAAATTAATCGATGATAATTATCGCAACCTGTGAGATTTTCTCCTCGAACCTATACAGGGTGATTGAGTAGATTTAATCGTTATAGAACATTCATGAAACGTCCAATTATTTTACAAACCAGCGATATGAAGACAATTTAAATACAGCAAATATGAATTGAAAAATAAAAGAAAATGTTTATGCGCTCTGTAAGTCATATTTTAAATATATGTTTAATGAGAAATAAAATATGTTTAAAACTTACATCAGACTTGGCTTTAAAAGGAGGAGAACCTTTACCACCAGCAATGCTAAAGCCAAGTCCATTTTGGTCCCGAATTAAAGTAGTATGTACACTGACAGTTATGAAAGAATCCGCATTTGATTCCATTGTATGTGGAGAATCGCTGCTTTTCTTTATCTGAAAGCAAAAATACACTTTCTAGCTAGTTTCTAAAAAATTAAACAGTACATTAACTAGTATTAATCAAGTTTGCAATTATGTACTTTAGAAACTATAAATGCGTCACAAAAGATTTAAAAATAAAATCAAAGTATTTCGCGCATTTTTTGTTTGTCAAAAATGGTTCGCTCAGGATTACTAACTTCTATCCTAAACAATTTTGTTCCTAAACTCTAAATCAAAGAAAGTACAGACCTTTAAAAAATGCAAAAAGAAAACATTTTTCAACAAAAAAATTTTTTTTTATTAGTTCTGAGTAGATTTCTGGTATTCGTAATAAAAGTTCTCCATATCATCCCTAAATAGTTTTTTTATAAATTCAAAATCAAAAAAACCACAGAACGTTGAAATTGCAAAAAAAAATTTTTATGAGTTCTGAGTTGAATTCTGGTATTAGCATTAAAAGTTCTACAAATTATCTTAACAAATTTTTTTTCACATTTCTGGCACACTTTTATAACACATAAAGTACACGGCCCTAACGTTTTTCTTTCTTTTTTTCTCGAAATACAGTCACAAAATGGCGGAATTTTCTAGTGAAAATCGTGTTTTGCTTCATTTAGTCACTAAAAATCTAAAAATTCAAATGCACTTCATTTTTTGATTTTAGATACTTAATTCACTAATCATGTTTTTTAGATTCACTCTAAAAATTATTAAATACTCAAAAAAATGTTCTTATACATTTATTTACGAATTTCCTTAATTGTAAAATTATTCGAAAACACCAATAATTTCATTTTTAAATAATCATTTTTAAATAATCATTTTTAATTAATCATTACTATTTTTCCATGGGAACTAAGATTTTCCAAATTTTTAATTCAAACCTTTTGAAATTCAATAACTCATAAGAATATTATTATAAAACATGATTTGGAAATTTTTGTATTAAATATACATTAGAAAATAAAAACTTGAAATAATTTTAAAAAATTTCGATTAAGCTTTTTGAAAACAATAATTACTTGCATAGAATTTTCAATTAAAAGTATGAAAAATTCAAATTTTCAAGGATTTTAATTTGAAACGTTTACAAAATTCAATTATTTCTAAAAATTGCAATTATTAGTAATTTCTCCAAAATTCAATTATTATCTAAAACTTTAACTAAGGTATTTTATAAAAAAGTTGCAAACAATTGATTTTCATCGAAAAAATGTATGCAAATTCTATTTTTAATAATTTGTATTCATGTAGAACTTTGTCAAAATTATTTTTAAATAATTGACTTTTTTTTGGGAAATTTTATTAAAATAATAGATATAAAAATTATTGAATTAAGAAAAATTTTAGAAAATAATTGAAATTGTGCAATGAATTTTATTAAAATTTTTGAAAATAATTGAATTCTTGTGATGAATATTGTTATTTATGATGATAATTGAATTTTACCATTCATTTTATAAAAATTCCTGAATATAATTGAACTTTCGGCGAAGAATTTTGCTATTTATAAAGATAATTGAAATGTTGACAAGAATTTCTTTTTAAATTTTTGAAAATAATTGGATTTCTGGAAAGAATTGAAATTAAAATTTAAAAAAAATACTTCATTTAATGATTTATAAGTAATAACTTTATGTCAGTTCTTCAATAGAATTAAGTTGTTTAAAATAAATTATTGTCAGAAATAGAAATAATTTAAGGTTTTTTTAGAATTCGTGGTAATTTTATAGTTTATGAGGCAAACAAGAAAGACACCGAAAATTCAGAATTTTCTTATAAATTCTCAAATTTGAATTTTTCTTCAGTACTTTTAATAAAAATCCCTGACTTTTCCCTAAATTCCCTGACCTGTGGCAACCCTGCTTATGTAGTTTATTCTGAAACCTGATTTCGTGATATAATTGACATCAAAACATTTCTGAGTTTCGACCTCAAAAGTATAATTTCTATAAAGGATTTTTAAAGACTCTTTTCTCAAAATCTATCGAACTGATTTTAAAAAACCAAAGACCATTCGATTCTTTATTATCTTTTTCTTTGTAAAACTTGTTCCCAAAGGAAGACAGTAAATATCATGAAGTTAACTAATTGAAATATAAATTGCATAAGTTAGCATATTTTGGAGCTTCCACAACATGTTGATGAGAAATAAATGGTTTTAAAACAAAGAAATATTTGTAGACAGAATCCTTTCAAGCAAAAACAAAGTACAGTTTTTTTTATAAAGTTTTCATAATCTTCTTAATATGAATTGAATTTTAAACAGAAAATAGATTTGAATTCTGTCTAAAACCTGATTTTACATGAACATGTAACTAAACTAACCTTTTTCGTTTGACTCATTTCCATGCTTTCAGAATTATTAATCATAGGTGTTGATGACACACAAGACGTTCCACCAATCAAGCTGTTGGTGCTTATATTCGAACAAATTGAGTCTTTCCTAGCTGAAATCTAAAGTTAAAAAATAGTTAAATATTTGACCTTGTCAATAAAAGAAACTCATCTACAAGAATTATTGTTTTCAGGGGATAAAAGCTAAAATCCTATTTCTGCCACTCCACACTCTACATTTGTTTTAGAACATTGTTATTTTTTCATTTTAAAACCATTATATCATATTTATGCAGTTCTCCAATTGTTGCTGAACTATGTTATTCCACACTTTTAGAATTAACAAACGTTCAAGAACATATGTTATATGCTTATTATAGAACAGACATACAATTAATAGGGAGTTCATGAGTTGATGTAAGATAGATTTCCATATTACGAATTCCTTATTATTTTGTCATTTCATTAAAGACAAAATTAAAAAATTTATAAAAAAAGTATCTTGCACGTAGTAGAAAGATTAGACTAATAAGAAAGTTGTATTTTACATACCACATCTGTTGACGATAAAATTTTAGTCACTTCTCTTAGAATGACAAGCATCAACACACGGCCACAAGCTTTTAAAACTTCTACAGCATCATAATGATCAACATTAACTACTGAAACTCCGTTTACTGATAGAACTTTATCACCCACTCGTAAACCGGCAACATCAGCAGGGCCTCCTGTAAAACATCAAATTCATCTTTATGTCATAAATTATATTTTTTTAAGATAGGTAACAAACTACTTCTGAAAGATGTTATTGAAATAGCAGAGTTTTGAACTTTTTGAAATTCAAAACTTGTAACTTGGGTCGCTAAACTCGAAACTGGTTCTAAAAACCCCAAAGTAACAAGATTCAACTGAATTGCATCAGTTCTAAAAAATCAGCCGCAATATTGTTTCCGACATTTTAATTGTAAACATCTAACGTCAGATTCGCATTCAACGACCACAAAAACCCTCAAGTAACAATTAAGTTTTATCCGAATCCGATCGATTATCAAAAAAATTTATAAGTTTAGATAGTAGTCAAGGTTTTCTATAAAAAGCCTTCTGTAGAAGTCAGAAGTGTTTTTTCTACGCGAAGAAATCAGGACTGCTTTTATTCTTCCCGAAGGAGTTAGGATTTAATTAAGTAAGTTTCACATAATATACATTCACTTTATATCTTACCTTCTGTCACTCTTGAAATAAATATTCCCTCATCATCTCCTTTGAAAGGTGTAGAGCCGATTCCACCAGCAATAGATAGTCCAAGTCCACCAGTTGTTCTTTCAATATGAATTTCATATTGTTCTTCTGTCACTTCTATAGATGGTTCCGCATCAGATATTGGTTCTAAAAATTATATATTTTAAATTATCGAAAGCAAATTAGTTAACGGCGAAAGTAAAAGAAAAGGGTGTAGGGGAGACCAAGGTATAGTCGGTCAGAGGGTAAATCCGGTCACTAGCGATTTGGCTAAAGCTGTGCAAAATAATTAAAACCGAACTGTTCGAATTTTTTCGCTTAGTTCGAATGTCGAATATTCGACATTCGAGTTACTACAAAATTCGAATCGAACCCAACTTAAGATGGAGATATTGGTACTGTGAATAGTACTTAAGGGGGGAACACCAGTTGTAACGTTAAAAAGAAGTGCCTTTTTCAAGAATTTTTTCCTATTAAACCATAAAACTTTTTTCAAAATACTATTTAATACCTAAAAGTACATACATAAGGCTTTAATTTAAGAAAGAAAAAAATTTTGTTATCCAAAATTTTCTGACATATGAGCCATTGAAGTGACGACTTCGGAAAAAAACATGAATTACGGTGACCAGCATTCCGCAAGTGGGCAGTCATCGATTCGCTCCCGTGAGGGGAAGTGGCATTCTCCCACCATGCGGCCAGGGGCCTGAGCTCGGGGTTCGGAGCGAACGTAGCACAGCGGGGCGCCTGGTCCCTTAATCCCTCATTAAGTCATCCTTCCTTAATGACAGTGTTTAAAAAATATAAATTTCTCAAACATAAACATTTTAAAGTTTTTTTTATTAAATTCAGATCCCTTATTTTATTACGAATCCATACATATGTTGTTTGCCTTAAAAATGTTAATATTTAAAAAAACTTTTAATTTATTATGAACTGACACTCAAATAAATTCATAGTAAATTTGACTTTCAAGTAAATATATATTTTCTCTGGCTGTATAATCTACTTTTTACTTCAGTTGAATTCTGAAAAAACTTAAGAATTACAATCAGTCAGTTAATAATAAATTTTAAACTTTTTAAATACTAAAATTTTTAAGGCAAACTACATATGTATGGATTCGTAATAAAACAAGGAATCTGAATTGAATAAAAAAAATTGAAAAATGTTTATATTTGAGAAATTTATATTTTTTAAACACTGTAATTAAGGAAGGATGGCTTAATGAGGGATTAAGGGACCGGGCGCCCCGCTGTGCTACGTTCGCTCCGAACCCCGAAGTCAGGTACAAGGCCGCATGGTGGGGGAAGGCCCCTTCCCCTCACGGGAGCAAATTGATAATCGCCCCCGCAAGTATAGTTCGTCTGAAATGCAAAAATGAAATAAAGGCGATCTTGGTAAATATCTGAGCGCCTGGCTTTAGAAATTAATTATTGCCATATTTATGTAGTTTACTTTACCCGGCTAAGTGGATTCGTAGGATGAATTTTTATTAAATAAATAAACACAAAGTTAATTTAATATCACACACAATTCGATTTGTTCTAATAAAAGAAAAACAACAATTTATTTTAATAAAATAGAAAATGTAAAAGTCTCATTAATTAGAGAATACTCAAGGATCCAAGATTCTTTGTTATTTTAAGTTAACTTTACACGAAAATCTTATTGACAATTTGACTTACCGCCATTTCAATTATTTTCCGGCGAGTGTTTTATTTTATTTCAATCTTATTATTCCGACTTGTTATTTTCCTTAATTTTACAGAACAAAACTTTTACTAAGCTATAGTAAAGCGTCGGCCATACTAGTCAAAACATGAAGACCGTGCTATATATTTTTCTCGCCTACTCAAAAGCCCATGTGCGGTGGCGACCCTGCCGATAAGTATGAATATTACCTTTTTCGTACTTATAGGGTTAACAGGTCGCAGCCTCGCAGGCGCGTTGTACAAGTTAATGAAGAACAATTAATCTTGGATATGTGTGCAACTCGGACCAAATGGAGCAGTGAAAATAACAAAATAATAATTATAACAATTATTATTGGTGGTCCCGGTCTGCTTCATCCTCAAACTGTTTCTCCTGACTCTTCTCGCTCCAACTGAGAGTCAATTGCAAATAGTACCTCCGCGCCAAATTAGCTGCGTTTGATAGGCTGAAAACATTATTGAAAGGCAGTGACAAGTAATATTTAATTTGGATTGCTCTTGGATCCATGAGATGTATCTATTTATGAATTGCTTTAAATTGATTATTGCTTTAATTATTTTGTACAGTTTATTATAATTTTCTCCTTATTTAAATTACAAAATATAGAATATTAAGGAGAGCTTCACATTTTTCCACCATGGTCGAGGACAAAATTAAAAGAGCAAAATTGCAACGTTACAGTGTATACTTGCGGAATACTGGTCACCGTAATTCATGTTTTTTTCCGAAGGCGCCACTTCAATGGCTCATATCTCAGAAAGTTTTGGATAAAAAATTTTTTTTTCCTTTTCAAATTAAAGCCGTATCTATGTACTTTTAGGTAATAAATAGTATTTTTAAAAAGGTTTTATGGTTTATTAGAAAAAAAATTCTTGAAGAAGGCACTTTTTTTTAACGTTACAACTGGTGTTCCCTCCTTAACATTCAACTTATGTTAACGAACTTTTAATTACTTTCATGAATTCAACACGGAATCAGAGGCGGTCAAGTGCTTTTAGAGGTGTCAGAAAAAAAATGTTTTTTGGATTTTTAAGTTTTTCGGTCATTATTTTGAGTCTTAATTTATTTAGGTAAGTTTTTTTGATGCACTTGATTGTCTATTTCCGAAGTAGGTACATATAGACAATTCCACGTGAGATTTTAGTCGACCTCTTAAAATCGGCCAAAAATATATTTTTTTTATTCTGTGCCCAAAAAAGCAGATATGTATTTTTTTATTTTTGTTTAATTGTCCAAATTTTCGAGTTATGAATTTTCGAAATTTTGGACTTTTAATTGTAGACCTATATTCAGTAGCTTATAAGTCCGAAAATATTAAGTTTAAGAAAAAGTTGTCACAGAATGAAAGTTTTAGTTTTCTTTCGACTTTTAAGATATGTAAACAAAAAATGTTTTTTAAAAAAAATTTTTTTTTATAAACAAATTAATTTTTTTAACCTTGGGCCGGATTTATTTTTATTTTTTTAAAATTTATTTATACCTTATAATATAGAGAAGATTTTCCAAAAAGTCCCGAAATGGGCCTGATGTGTTAAATGAGTTTTAAAACATTTTCAAAAATTACTTGTAAGCACCACAGTGGGATTTTTTTACAATTAACTTTTTAAAACTGTCTACAGCGTAGACCCTTTAATTTAAAACGAAGAACACTCAAATAGATTAAAAATTATACGCTGTAGACAGTTTTAAGAAATTAATTGTAAAAAATTCTACTGTGATGCTTGCAAGTGATTTTCGAAAATGTTTTAAAACTCATTTAACACATCAGGCCCATTTCGGGACTTTTTGGAAAATCTTCTCTATATTATAAGGTATAAATAAATTAAAAAAAAATCCGGCCTAAAGTTAAAAAAAATTAATTTGTTTATAATAAAATTTTTTTTTTTAATAAAAAATTTAAAAAAAAATTTTTTGTTTACATTTCTTAAAAGTCAAAAGAAAACTAAAACTTTCATTCTTTGACAACTTTTTGCTTAACTCAATATTTTCGGATTTATAAGCTACTGAATATAGGTCTACAATTAAAAGTCCAAAATTTCGAAAATTCATAACTCGAAAATTTGGACAATTAAACAAAAATAAAAAAAATACGTATCTGCTTTTTTGGACACAGAATAGAAAAAATATTTTTGTCCAATTTTAAGAGGTCGACTAAAATCTCAGGCGGAAATGTCCATATATAGTTTTGATTGATTTCAAAAAGATTTCATTAGGTTTATTCTGAAATGTCAGGAATACATTCAGTTAGGATGCGAGACAAATTTTACCGTCGTGGCAATGATGATGGTGACAGTTGATTTATAAAAAGTTTAAATTTGGCGCATAAACATGCATTGCCAAAGATATGATTAAAATTATATGTTCAAATCTCAATAATTGCCATGAGACAATTTTGTCTCTATCTTCATTAAATTTTCTGTTCTGTGTGCGCTGAAAAAAATTCTGTGTCGCTACCTTACCTACGAATGTCGCTACCACACAGATCAGATGGTAAGTACTATCCCGATTTTGGAAGGGAGATTAGCTCTCAAGGGAACACTACCTCACCGCGAGAGAAGGTTACAACACTGGTTTTTCGTCCAATCAGCGACCCCGAATTGAGAGAGCCTAGCGCGTCACAGCTCACACGCATATAGACCGAACTAAAATCTCGGCGTGCTCAATGTTCCGTCCACGTGCGTGTTTCTCGTGTTCGTATTTTAATAATAAATAAGAATTGTATTTATATCAAACGTAGTTCAGTGTGTACGACATATTTACAGGATTTTAATGTTTTTCGTAAGTAATTGAAACATTATTTGTAAAGTATTACATGTCAATTGTTTAATCAAATTGATTTGCCAAAAATCGCGCCTTGCACTTATGTTGTGAGAGAAGATATTCATTTCCTTGGCACAGACTATGGGCTGTAATTTGTATGAATGATAAAAAAAAGTATTGGAAAATTTGGTACTGAAATTTGAAAATTGTGTATTTAATAGTATTTGTATCTACGTTTATTTAAATTCAATGTTTAATTTATTACTTTAATTAATAAAAAAAATTGAAGAATGCTTACTGTTTCATTTTTTTTTCTATGAGTATTATTCCTTAATATTGAAAATAATTACTTTTATCAACAATATAAAAATTCAAATGCTTATAGAGTGATTAAATATTTGTCACTAATTTAAATTAAGATTTAAAAAATACAAAATTTTTATTTAAATCATAAATAATATTTTTAACGGGTGAAAGTGTAACACAAAAATAATTAAATTGTAATAAATTTTATGAGGATAATGTATTGTATAAAATTTTTTCACAGTATTTCAATACCAACGTTATTAAAACGCTCTTAGAATTGAAAATAAAAATTTATAAAAATTAAAATTATTACCTCTAAACTTTTCTATTACTAAATGAAGTTGTTTTTTATATATATTCACTCTAAACTATTTTTATAATAACATTTTTCTCTGTTACATGCTTTATATGACTGTTTACCTGAGAATTGTCGTTTGAATGATGGTGAAAAAGAATTTGCCATTCAGGAATTACAACTAAATGCTAACGGTTTAACGAAAACGTTATCTATGATGCAGAATCATTGTGGTAAATATTTCACAGTATTTACATGCAATTTACATTATGGCAAGCAGTGCTGAATTTAAGACTGATCTTAAAATAAGATTTTCTTTTTACTGTGTTTAATAATTTAACCCTCTGCTGATGCTAACTTATCCCCACTCTATCGCCAAAGAACGTAACTCCCATAGTCCCCGCCAGGCGTCCAGAATGACTATTTTTGACGATAACGGTCGTTAGCATCAACAGAGAGTTAAGCGATATATGTGACGCTCCACGAGAAAACGTGCCTTAGCTCCCGAAAACGAATTGTACGTGAAACGTATTAGAAGTTGAGTCTTCCTCATTGGTGGAGACCGTCCACTGAAATTCAGCCCCACTACTCACTACACATTCACATTTGTTCGTGTAGCGCAGGCCTGCACAAATGCGTTGCTCGCGAGCACTTGGCTGAGAGAGAAATTCCCCCTCCATGCGCAGCGAGGCGGAGTGAATCAGGCATAGCGCCCGCATGGAGGGGGAATTTCTCTCTCAGCCAAGTGCTCGCGAGCCACGCATTTGTGTAGGCCTGGTGTAGCGCGAAGGCTGTTTTCGGCATTCACTCGGTGTCAACACCGAGTTAAAGAACGTCCAATCATTAATAATATTTATTAACATTCTGTTGAAACTATCCAATCAGGATTAACTCGGGGTTAACACCGACTGAACGCCGAAAACAGCCGAAGTGTGCGAATAGTACATATTTAGCCAGTGTAATAGTAGTGGAAGGTGGAGGGTCTGAATTTCTAACCAACAAGTGTAAAGAAACAGCAAGCTCAAATTATGCTAATGTTCATTTGAAAATAATTCAGAATTGTGTAAGTAAATATTATTTTTATCGTTTGTAAGTAAAAGAGGGACTCAAAATCTATAGAGTGATATCAATTACTCGAAATTAATTTTTTGGGAGCTAAGGCACGTTTTCTCGTGGAGCGTCACATGAATTTTTAATTATATAATATTTAAAAAAATTATTAAATAAATATTTCAGGCGCTGACTGCGAAATACTAATCAAAGATAGCAGCATCTTTGAAGGGCAGTTCGTCACGCAGGATATGAAAAAATCAATGGCAGCCTATCCAGAATTTATTGGCGTAGATGCGTAGATACCTTGCATAGCAGACTCACAAGGGCAAACCGAAATTGTAGCTGGTTGCATTTTAATGCACGAGACTTAAGAAAACATGCAATGGTTCGTCGATACTTTCAAAAAGAAACATCCATATTGGGAGAAAATTAAAACCGTTATGGCAGATAAGGACATTTACGAACGGGAAATGTTTAAGAATAGTTTTGCAAATGGCAAAATTCTTATTTGCCTTTTTCACACGGAACGGACATTTAATATGGAAATCACCACTGGAAAGCTGGGAATAACCAAGGGACAAATGGATACAGCTAAATCTATTATCCAAAAAATAATTTATTCAAATAATGAGGAGGAATATTATTATCTGTATAATAAACTGAAAGCAGAAGTCCCCAAGTCAGTTATGAACTATTTCGATAAGAACTGGCTGGTATTAGAGATGAATAAACTCTATCTAGCCATTTTATGAAAATGACATACATGAACTCAACAAATATTAGATTGGAGTCTTTGATTGAGAAAATAAGACAATCGCTGTCAAATTTGCTACATTAGAGAAATTTATTGAGGATTTTTTTATTCCAATCTCCACAAGTACTGAGCATGACGTGGTTGCTGCTTCTTCATATTTAAAAAAGAAAGCTTTTTCCTTTCAAGAAAGCAGCCCTGAGCACTTTTACTGCAACTTTCTTTCAAATTCTGGGTTCCAATTTGTAAGAAAAGAATTAGAAAAGCAGGGCGTTTATAAAATTATAGGAGTATCTTCTGATACTGGTAATCTAATTTTAAAACGCGATATCGTTTTTCATGAACGTGATCTTCCAGAAACGTCCTTTTAAATCACAGCTCAAAATTAAAAAAAACAATTAAAGAAAATTTAACTCACGGACAAAAGTCAAAAAAGGACGAGAAGAACTTGTGGAGATAAATGGTTTAATTGCAGAGTTTTTAACTGCAAAATTTAATGAATGCATCGAGTTTATCCAAGAAGTGAGTATTTAATTTAATACATGCATTTTACAATAATGTTATGCATTTAAAAAATAAATATAAAAATATTTTCCAGGTTGAAAGACGCATCCTTTATAAACAAATTCTTAATTTGATTACTTTTCAAGATTCAATCACAGATGAATCGGATATTGTTCCACAAGATGCGTCGACACTTTTAGAAAACGCAATATTTCCTGAAAATGAGTTACTTTACGAAAACGCATTTATTTCAGAAAATATGCCACTTTGAGAAACTGCGTCTGTTTCTAAAAATACATTTTCAGAAATTGCGAATCTTCCGGAAAATACGCCACTTCAAGAAAACGCGTCTTTTTCTGAAAGTGCGCCAATATTGGAGGAATATCTTCTCTACGATGTGGATTGTGATGTCGTCAATTTTTCCACCCTTGACGAAGAGCAGAAAAAGTCTTGCAAAATAATTAAACTTGAGGAAAAGAAAAATGAAGAATTGACAGAAATAGTGTCATCAATTAATTTTGATGAAATAAAAAATATTAAAATGTCTCCTGTCCAAAACATGAGAGGTCGGCCAAAGCAATCTACTACAACAACCCCCATTGGATTATATTAAAAGGGAAGAATGCGTCTAAACTGGTCACCCCTTTTGAAAGAAAAAGTTTGGAACTAAAAATGTTACAAATTTTAAAGTGGATTGTAAGTCCATCGGTAACAGAAAGGGCAATTCTAGGTAAAGAAATTAATGAAGCAGAGGTAGAAGTAATGCCTGAAAATATATGCTTTGCTAGTATAGACGAGGATGTGAACTTATTAATTGTGAAAAAATGTTTCACAAATGATGTGTGGCTTGCTGTAAGCAAGCTCTTCGACGTTAAAAATAAAACCAATGTTTTGCTTTGTGGAAAATGCGAAATTAATATAGAGGAAGAACCAAACCACAATTTAGTAATAAAAAAACCAATGATCGATTAGGTGCGACTGTTGTTTGGAATGGTTCCACCAAATCTTCAACACTTAAAACAATTTTAATTGGTTTGAAGTGTGAAATTCATTTTAAAACTTAAATAAAAAAACTGTACGTGCCTTAATATTAGAAACCTATATTTTTTATTTATTAAACTAATTTTTATTGTTTAATAATAAATCATACTTAAGAGGGGAATAAGATGAATTTTCATATTTAAAAAATAAAACTATTCCGTCTTTAAAAAATCAAGTGACCGGATTTACCCTGAAAAATTGTGATTTTGAAATTTGGTATATGTGAATTAAAAATTATTTATAAGTAAAACTAATAAAGATTAATCAAAAACTCTTTTTTATTTTGGTAGTAGAAATGATAAGCTTTCAAATGATATAAAATAACTTGGATTTAGAGAATAATTTTCTAGATTTTTACCTATCTGACCAAAAGTGACCGGATTTGTCCCGGTCTCCCCTACTTTTTTCATTAATGATTTTTTAAGAAATATATTAAAAATTATTTTATGGAGTTTCTATCGCTTAACTGAACTAATCAAAACAGAAATCATTACTCTTACAGATACCTGATGACACTTTTTTTAAATAGATTTCAAACAAGTACCCTCAGGTCTCAAAAATTTAACTATATATTTTTCAAACCTTTAACTAACAGTGGTCCAAGCTTCATTAAATTGGTAATGTTAAATCTATTTGCGGTAGAACCTCCTTAAAAGCTTTTAAGTAAGCTTTTTTTTAATTTTTAAGCTTTTGAGTATTGAGTATTGAGTAGAGTATTGAGAGTACTTTTTTATCTTTTTTTTCGTTTACAGGATGTACCTACATACATTATACAGACGTATTTGAGAACAACTACTTCACCGGACTGGACATATTTCTGACAGTTTTGATTATTTTTCAATATTTTATTCAAATTTTATTGAATATTTTTAAATTTCATTATATTTTTTGTAAAGTTAAATACATTTACTATCAGAGACTAAATATCAATACGTTTATATAGAAGGTAAGCTAAAGGTCACTGAAAGTACTATAGAAGAAGTAAAAGTAATTTTGTCACTTAATCTAGTATAAATATGTAAAATAAATTTACCTTGATTATTTTGATCATAATTTTCAACGGAATCCATTGGTACAGGATACGTGACTCCGCCATTACTATTCTTCTTTAACAAAGCCTATGAGACAATGAAAATTCATTAGAACAATGTTAATGTAATCATGAATTTATAATAAAAATTAAAAAATTTCCATTACAGCAGTTATAATTTTGAAAATAAAATATGAAACACAAAAGATTATTGTCGTCTTTAAATATTCGAATTTGCATTTGCGGCTTAAAGGTTAATTAAAATAGTTTAAGTATTTTTTTCTAATAAAGGCACCCAAAGTAACTCACTTTTCCTCTCTTCAAGAGAGTCACATAAGACTCTGCAAGTGACACTCTTAGGAGTTTCAGTGTATATCTTTCAGAAAACTTGGGGTAGTGTATTTATTTTAATAATAAAGCGAATCTTTCGGCTTTAATATTGTGATTAATTCTCTAAATTTTAATGGAATTTATACTTTATATAGAACAGTCGATGAGTCTTGATGCAAAGAATAAAATTTTATAATAAATTAACTTCAATATTGGAGCAATAAAAAAATTATTTGTTCTGATCTTGGGGTCAGTCTATGTGCATCTAATGTTTTTGGGGTCACTGAATCTGAATTCAAGGTTCATTTCACCCCATCAGATAAGGGTTTCGACATAACCTCAAAAAATCAATATGGCGGATACCTTTTGAAAAAATTTATCGGATTCGCTTGAAACTTGAAACTCTGGGATTTTAAGGTTCACTGAATTGGAAGTCAGTTTTCAAATATTCAAAATGGCGGATCCAATATGATAAACGCTTTCTTAAAAATTCATCGGATTCAGACTTAGTTATCCGTATTGCGGACAACCTCCGTTGCCTACTGTGACTAACCATTTTTAATTTTTGAAAACTGACATCGGATTCGTAATTTTAGCGACCCCCATAACCCACAAATAACAAGTTTCAAGGGAATCCGATAAATTTTTGAAAAAAGTATCGGCCAGTTTAAATTTTTTAATACTAACTTTAAATTCGTAATAATTGACCTCGACAGCCCCCGAGTAACGAGTTTTCAGCGAATTAAAAAAAATGTTTTCAAAAGTTATCCGCCACATTGATTTTTTCAGGTCAGGTCAAAACTCTAATTTGATGGGGTAAATTATACCTTGGATTCTGATTCAGCAACCCCAAAAACATAAGATATCGTTTTCTCTTTCTATCAAACGGACGCCTTTATGCAGACCATTCCTACTCTATTTATATTATTTCTAAGAAAAAAATGAATTTTTTGGTAAAAATTAAAAAAAGGTTTTTCTGTGGATTTTTAAAAATCCTTGTGTTCTTTTTGAGATATTTATATGATAAATATAGGTATCAATTTTACCCAAATTGGTTAAAATCTCTTAGTTAGAGTTATCGTGTTCACAAAAAAGGGATCAGCACACACACACACATCCGGGCAATTGATCAGGATCTCATATAATACGTTTCCATATAGAGGAAAATTTGTTTAAAATAATTTTATATATAAATTAAAAGACTACAAAGCTTCCTCCATGAACAAGCAAAATAATTTGATTTTAATTTCATATGGTTTATTTTCATCAGAAAATGAATCTATACAATTTCGGATGTCAGATATTTAAACAACCACGCCGTTTTGAAAATATACTTATTATTTAATTTGAAAGAAGTTAACAATTTTCCCGAATCAATCTACACAAATAAATTAAATATCTTAAATAAATCTCGATAAGCTCATAGGCTTCATATGTATCGACAGCACAGCTTCCCAAATACAGAAACCTGCTTAATCTGAAAAATATTATCGAAATTAATTAATAATTTCAAAATTATCAAAGAACTCAGAAAAAACGGTAGCATGGTGGGATACGAGCCCACGACCTTTCTATTGCCGGTAGACTGCTCTGATTAGGGCAGCTGTGCTGTCGATACATATTTCAGTCCATGAGCTTATCGAGATTTATTTAAGATATTTAATTTATTTGTGTAGATTGATTCGGGAAAATTGTTAATTTCTTTCAAATTTAATATTTAATTACCAAATGATAAATTTATTTCCTTCAATACTTATTATTTGTATAAAGAAAATTTTAAGTGTTTTAAATAAATAAGCATATTTTCAGAAAGGCCGTGTTTGTTTAAAAATCTGAAAAGTGACGTTGTAGAGAATCATTTTTCATCGAATCATCTTTAAAAAATTCTATAGTAGCGATATGACAAAAAATTTGGATCATATTCAACCTTCTTATGAATATTTGTTCTTCTAAAAAATTCTATTAATTATAAAATATTATTTTTTTAAATGTTAATTTATAGACAAGTAAATATTGTTTAAAAAATATATGCATTTATATACAAACAACAATTTCATTAATCCTATAGAACCTTTTACAGTTGCTAATTTATTCTCGGTTCTAAGATTCGTTATAATGTTGTTTGTTGACCTGTGCTATTTGTTATTATTTCCGCAAAAATATTAAAAAATTAAATTTCTGAAAAACAGCCTAAGCGGTTTTTCTCATTTCAGGCTATCATCAAGGGGCTGCAGAACTTTCAAAATTTTTGACACAAATTTTCCGTTTTTACAAAATAGCCCCGGTTTACGGTATAAAGTTTGTTAATAAAATTAAAGAATATCTTAATAAATTATAAAAACATGCGAACGACACTTAAAAGAAACAAAAATAAAAATTACTTTTATTTCATTTTTTCTACGATTCAGAAACTAAAATAGTTAAATCAATTTAATTTCCTGTCAATCCGAAATTAAATTAATTCGTCTCAACTCAAATAACTGAATTATGACACGGAATTTAGTTTCAAGTTAGACTGAAATTATTTTAACAAAATAAATTTTGGTTTTGTGTAAATCCTAAACTAAAATTTCAAAATCTTCAACATGCAATGTTGAATTTATTGTTGTTTAAGATATATCAAGAGGGAGGTTCGCCGTTGAGAATATTTCGAACGTTAGGGTGGTCCAAAAAAAGTACGAATTCTTTTGCTCTCAGCCCGTAGGATTAAAGTCTTTGGAAAAAATATTTCTTCTTTTATTATAACAATATTAAACCGTGCTTCAAAGCCCTTCAAATTTTTCATGTGCTTTAAATGAAAAAAGAAATTTCACTTACAACTTTCAAATATATTGTTAATGCATTTCTTAATATTATTACAAGGTTTTAAACTTTATAGTTTTTCAAAAGTTACGGAAAGATGTAATGATATTTTTGAAAAATTTGAATTAAAGTTGTAATATTGTTTTTAGAATTTTCGATATAACCAAAATAAAATTTGTTTAGTAATTACAAAGTAAGATTTATAATATTTAAAGGCGACAATAATGGCCTCAAAGATTTAAAAGGCTGACCTGGGCTATAATAGAAGCAACTTTCTCTTTATCGAATGATGTATGAATACGTTTGTTTTTCAAATGATGAGGGGTATCTCTGCGATGTAGCTTGTTGGGTTTGACAGGGTCACCCCCACCCTCAAAATCCACGTTCTCCATTATAGAAAATTCAACACGCTTCAATGTATCTTCATTTTCAGCAACATCACAATATTTAACATCACATACCGACTCTTCAAATTCCACATCCTGCAAAAGGATTCTATACTAAAACCTAATACATTAAAATACTACAAATACACATCATTCAAATTTTTATTTCCAACTCCATGAATCTGTGATATTTTTCGTAATTTCACACGCAAAAAATGTTGGCAATATCTCCTTTATTGCTTATCGTTATGTGCAATATAATGTAAGAATTTAGGGATAATTGAGGTATGGTTAGAAAAATTCTAATAATGATTATTATGAAACATAAAGATAAAAGAATGAAGAGCGCTAGTTCTTATAATTCCCATGGGAGGCTACAAAAATGTCGTAAAAGAAAACAGGTATTTTTTCTCGTCTAAATACAGAAATTTAATTAACCCGTGCTCACCCAGTGGTCGAAAACAAAAGATCGATATTTAATAGGTATTCAAAATCTTTAAATTTTGCAGAAGTATACTTACGTAATTTGATGCGCTGATTCCAAAAAAAAATTACCATGAAAACTTTGTTAAACATTAATTTTAACAAAGTTTTTTAGAATTAGCGCATCAAATTAGAAAAAATTAAAGGTTCACGGCTTCCTAAATTTCGGTAAAATTTAAAGATTTTAATATTAAAAATCAATCTTCTGTTACACTTTTTAATATTTTTCAACGCTAATTTTTTCCCATGCATATTTTACAATTTTAAACCGCAACTTCTAGCATAGATTTGCAATAATATGCAATAAGTGAAAAGAAAAAAATTCTAACCTTTTCAAAAATTACAATTAAATATTTCTTATAAGTTTTCAGGTTGAAAAGTCTCCCTTTAAAAACTTTGAGTGTTAATTTTTTCAAAATATGTCATCTCCAATTTTTTTGAAAGTTGTCGGGGCGCTGATTACGAATCTTGCGTCAATTTTCAAAATTTTCAAAAATCAATATGGCGAATCCAATGGGGCCATCCATAAACCACGTAACCTCTTGAGGGGGAGGGGGGGGTCAAACAATTGACTACAACAAGAGGAAAAATGGCGCTAATACATGTAATAGCGTACTACATGGAGGAGGGTCAAAATTCCCAAAAAATGGGGCTACGTGGTTTATGGACGACCCCAATATGGCGGATGATTTTTTAAAAAATTGATCCAATTTGCTTAAAACTTGTTACACAGGTACTTTCAGGGTCAATGATTACGAATGCGGTGTTACTTTTTTAAAATTCAAAATGGCGGATCCAATATGGCGGACAAAAAAATTTGAAAGTTATCTAGATTTTGAATTTTAAAATTTTTTAAATTTGACATCGGATTCGTAATCAGCGACCCCAAAAACCCTCGAGAAATGAATTTTAGGCAAATTGGATTGATTTTTAAAAAAGTCATCAGCCATATTGGATCCGCCATTTTGAATTTTTGTAAAAAATGTTATTATTTATGAAAATAACTAAATTATTGCGAAGAAATTTATGAAAAATTAGTAAATAGTTGAATTCCTGTGAAATTTTTATTATTTATGAAAATAATTTCATGTTTGCTTAGAATTTTGTTTTTAAATCAACATTTTGTTTTTAAATAATTGAATTCTTTTGAAATTTTTTTTTAATAGTAGATATTCAAAATCATTGAATAGAGGAAAATTTTTAATAATAATTGAATTTCGAAGATGAATTTTATTATTCAAAAAAATTATTTGGGATTTTTACGAGATTTAAAAAAAATTTTGAACATGATTGAATTTTTGCGAAGAATTTTTTTACTTTTGAAAATAATTGAATTTCTGCAATCATTTGTAACTTCTTTAAAATTCAATTTTTTCCAGTACTTTAATCAAAATCCCTGACTTTTCCCTGATTTCCCTGACCTGTGACAACCCTGATATTGTAAGATGTAGCACGTGTCAAAGTTTTAAACTTCGGTTTTACATGTCATACATATTTAAAAAATATCTAGTTCCTATAAAAAATACAAAAAGTGTTTAAAATGCTTGGATGTTGTAGCTATTTTTACACATTTTTGAATGGTATAAATAATTTTAAAAAAATAACTTTTATAAATAAAGTTGTCAGATTACTATCTTAAAGGAAATTTCCTTGCACATCTTTTTTCTATACTCATAATTTTTTATATATATATATATATATATATAACAGTTTTCGAAAAAAGCAAAAAAACCGACAATTTCTGAAAATTAAGTTTAATTGAAATTTTCACATCAACTCGTTTTAAAATGGAAAGTTCTTAATATGTTTGCATGAAATTTATAGGACATATATGTCCCACTTACAAAAACCGCTGTAACTTTTTTAAATATTAATATTTTTTAAACGGGTTGGACTTGATTTCCTCAGAATCGGTCCAGGTATCCAAAAAAAATTAAAGTAAACAATAAAATTTTTTTTTTAAATATAAAGAAATAATAAAATGTTTATGCAAATCGGAAAAATTGTTTTAAAAAGTCAGTTAGCTCATGTACAGACGCTGAAGTCAAAAAATTTTTTTAAGTTTCGTAAGGTTTTCGGGGTCGCTGATTACGAATTTGATGTCAAATTTACATTTTGACAGTTGACAGCTGTCAGAGGAACTGTCAACTTTTGCATTACTGATTTATTTTTTTTAAAAAGACTCCGTAAATGGTTTTCGGGGTCGCTGATTACGAATTTGATGTCAAATTTACATTTTGACAATTGACAGCTGTCAAAACAACTGTCAACTTTTGTAAAACAGATTTATTTTGTATAAAAAAGACTTCAAAAGAGTTTTCGGGGTCGCATATTTCGAATTTGAACTCAAATTAATGATTTAACAGTTGACATTTGATATAATTGTCAATTTTATAGAAAGTAATTTGGTTTATTTAAAAATGTCCGTAAAAGGGTTTTTACATTGCTGATTACGAGTTTGATCTCCAATTGACAATACGCAGACAATACTGGCATAATAACAAAGAAAAAAATAATAATTTCGTTTGTGAACAGTATTCCACATCATCTTCGAGGTTCCGATAAAGATGCGTTAGATTTTTTTGGTAAATCTTTGCCTGTAGCCCTATTTTAACACAACTCTTGTAATAATTATAACTCGTATAATTTTTGCTGATTTTATAGACACTTTTGCATAAATAAAATTAGTTATTTTAAAAATTGACGGTTGGTTTGACAGCTTCCAACTGTCAAATTATTAATTTGACGTCAAATTAGTAATCAGCGACCTCGATAACCCTTTATGGAGTCTTCTTAAAAAAAATAAATCAGTTTTACAAAAGTTGACAGTTGGTTTGATAGCTGTCAACTGTCGAAATGTAAATTTGACATCAAATTCGTAATCAGCGACCCCGAAAACCCTTTTAAACTCTTTTTTATAAAAAATAAATCAGTTTTACAAAAGTTGACAGTTGTTTTGACAGCTGTCAACTGTCAAAATGTCAATTTGACATCAAATTCGTAATCAGCGACCCCAAAAACCCTTTACGGAGTCTTTTTTATAAAAAATAAATCAGTTTTACAAAAGTTGACAGTTGGTTTGACAGCTGTCAACTGTCGAAATGTAAATTTGACATCAAATTCGTAATCAGCGACCCCGAAAACCCTTTTAAAGTCTTTTTTATAAAAAATAAATCAGTTTTACAAAAGTTGACAGTTGTTTTTACAGCTGGCAACTGTTAAAATGTCAATTTGACATCAAATTCGTAATCAGCGCCCCCGAAAACCTTAGGAATGGCATCTTATTAGTTTATATCTTTTCTATGTTTTTCTCGGGTGTTAAAGGGTTAACTTCAATTCTGCAGTTAATTTAATTGCAAGCGTGTCATTTATTCTTATTCAACTAAGAAAAGTAGTTTAGGCAATTGAAATATCATTTATTTCAACTTCATATGTTATAATTAATAATAAAAATCAAACTTCAACAACTATTCAGAATTCTAAAAACAAAGTTTTTTCATTTTTAATTTTGTCTATTTGTTAAGTACATGGGGAAAAGTCTGAATTCTTTTCACCCTCAGGATTGAAATTTATTGAAAAAAAACCATATATTGTTTTCAAAAAACAATTATAAACTGTACCTCAAAGCTCTTCAAATTTTCCATGTATTTTAAATGGAAAAAACAGGTTCTCAGGTCAGATAGGTGTACGTTAACTTGTCGAGGCTTCGCAAATTTTATTTTCGTTTTAAATTTCATTTGTCCATATATGAAAAAATTTTATAATTTTCTTGAAAACCAACAACATTTTTCTATTTAATTCGCCAATTCAATATTAAAAAATTAATTTTCCAATTTTTTCTTAAATTGTATATTTTTTTTAAAAATAAATGTTGAAGGAAAATATGCGCATTTAAATCAAGTAACTCGAAACGGTTTTTTTTGGTTTTTTCTTAAATGACCAGCAGAATTTTGAAATGTGTTTTTTTCGCTTCCTGGAAAATCATGAAACTGTCGCTTGACAATTTTAGTCATGCGACTCTTAATATATTTTTAAATGCTAAATAATGATTTTTTTAAAATCACAGTAATTGTGTCATCAACAGCAATACCCACAATTACCCTAGCTTAATTAAAGGGTTTTTTTAAAAGTTTATTTCAAAATCCTGATCTGATAGGTTTAAATAGACCACGGATTCGAATTCAACGACTCCAAAAATATGTGGTAACCATAATCAAGCTCCTAAATGAAAAGATTTTTTATGGCTGTTAAATTAATTCCCTTTTTTGCTTTTCTGAGAATTTTTCAGAAATCTATGAAAAATATAAGTTTTTTTTAGACTTTACATCAGAAATAGAAAAAATGCTTTATTACTTATTTAAAATACCTGGAAAATTTGAAGGGCTTTAAGAATGGTTTAATATTGTTTTATAGAAAAACAGGTGTATTTTTTTGATAAACTTCAATTCCAAAGAGTGAGAACGGAAGGATTTCTAGTTTTCCTTTTTTAGACCACCCTATCCTTCATCACAAGAAAATGTATTGATATTTGTTATTGTGAATAAAATTATATAATTTAAGTGGTCAAGTCTAAGAAAGTAATTTTTAAATATAAATTACAAATTTTCTTTTCT